CATCTTTGTCACCATATTTATTGCAACATTTCGGCCGTTGTACGTGCCATGTATCCTCAAAGACACATGGCACACTAGATAAAGGCGTTGGTTAGATCCAGTGACAGGACGCAATGAGTGTGAGTTCAATACTCGGTTAAGACAATGGAGAACTTGGAGAGGGGAATTAAGAGGAGATAACTAATAACTGTCATCCATCAAACATGGCACATGGAATTAGAACAGTCTACCCCAGTGAGCGAAATAAAGGGTTAAGTTCAACATTCCAACCACCTGAAGAAGGCCAGATCATACAACGGCTGAGACGTTGTAATAAATATGGCAACAAAGATGAGGACAATAGTCCGAATAATGTAAATAGTGTACATAATACCGCATCTCAGAGATATAGACAGATAATAATAATAATTATTATTTCTTTATGTTATGTTTCCTGCTCTGTATCCTGCAGAACCGGGTTCAAACTGTCAGCCCTAGGCCCTATAAGAGAATTGTCATTAATTGATAGCAATTTTCTTAGTATATGGGATGTTCCTAGTAGGGCAGCTTTTATGTTGAAGTGACTTCGGACACTGTTAGTAAAATTGTCCATTCATTTTCTCACGAGGCCCAGTCCCAGTCTTCATTCCCCCATATACAGGTCCTTGTATTTGGACAATTTCTCAATAATTTTCATGAAGGTGTTTTTCTCAGATGTCAGCACTATGTCAATAAGCTTACACTTCTTGAATTTCTATGAAAATATCAGGTCAGTTGGCTTTGATTTCTCCGTCAATTTGAATTGGCATGTCCCAGAGGATAGTTACATTATTTTGGATGACTATGTCTGCCTGGTGCTCAGTGGTTTCGATTTTGTGCTACTTGCATGTCTTCGAGTGCACATAAGTCGCTGTATTGTTATGTCCGTGGGTATATTAATTTTTTGCTAGTTCCGGACACCCTGAGATGATATGGTCGGCAATTTCATCATATTTTCCTCAGATTCTGATTATCAGGTTAATCCCATCTTTGATTATGTGACAGTGACAGGGTCTGGTTGCGAGGTTTTGATTTTGAGCTGAATAATTAGGCCTTCTGTCTCAGCTTTCAGCCCAGTACTCCCCTGTCACTGATGTGTTTTCTGTTGGTCCACATTTACTTCTTTCGTTCTTTTTAGGTATTTGTCAGTTTTTTGGGGTTTTTTTGTAATTTCATTTAGCTAAGTTGTTTTGCTTTCTGCTTTACTCGTTTGGCATTGAGTGTATTCACTTTGATTTTTTTTTTTTTTTTTGGTAGGGTTTCTGATATATTAAGCTGTTTCTTGAAGAGTGCAGCTTCTTTGTTGATGGATGGATTTTTTGTTTTACTATTTGTAGATGGTAATTGGTTTTGTGAGGTATGCTTCCAATCCGATTGTAGTAGTATTTACAATTAGTTCAATTTGGAATTGACCTCTCCCTCCTATAGCTCTTGGTAGATACAGTCTATTAACATCTGATTTCGAGTGGTGCATCCTCATTTGGGTAAGCATTTTTCTGGTCTTGGCTTCCAATCTTTTAATGTCATTCAACTTCCATTTAATGATGTTGAAGGTGTATGTCACTACGGGTATAGCTAACGTGTTGATAGCCTTCATTTTATTGGCCCCAATTAAATTCGCTTTCTAGTATCAAACGAATTCTCCTCTAATATTCTTTTCGGATCTTTTTCTTCATAATTGAATGTTGTATTCCGTCAACTTCATTAATTCCTAATTATTTGTATATGCTATCTTTGTCTAGTTTCTTAATCTTGTTGTTGATATCAAGGTCTAAATCTGTAGTTTTCTTTAGTTTACCGCCTTTGAAGGTAGCTTTGGTACATTTGGTACATTTGTCGATTTCAAACTCCATCCTAATGTCTTCTCTGAAGGTTTTGACAATGGTGAGTTGTTTTTTTTTTCTTCTGCTGGTTGTCGTACTTGGCAAACGTTTTAAGATCATCAATATAGAATAGATGATTCAGTTTGCCATTCTGTATCTTGTATCCGTAGCTAATGTTGTTCAGTAGGAAGCTGAGTGGTGTTAATGCAAGGCAAAAGAGTAATGGTGACAATAAATCTCCTTGAAAGATCACGCGTTTGATGTTGATTTCTCTCGATGTTAATTATTCGTTTATATGGTTTAGGTTTAGTGTAGTCTTCCAGTTTTTCATTATCTCCGTTATGTATATTTTTAGGCTTTTCTCTATCCATGACTGTGATACACTGTCGAACGCCTTTCAGTAGTCGATTCAGGATATCGATATGTTTATTTTTTCTTTGTTTTCACCTCTTCCAATATCGTTTTATCGATAACCTCCTCTTTTACATTTCTTCAGTTCTGCTGGGGGGGGGGTAAATTGTTGTATGTCCTCTCGGTTATAATAAAAGTGAGATTATTATTATTATTATTATTATTATTATTATTATTTCCTTTGATTCTTGTTATATACACGTTTCCTTCCGGGTCCCAACCAGAGACCTAGGATCATAAATGACTTCATGACATTTTCCACAGATCAATTTTTGTAAAAAGATCACAAACATTTTACATAGATAAAGTTCTTCGTAATGTGTCAGCTCTACTTGTGTACACATTTTTTATTGTAATTATGTAAGGCAGGGGCTAACAGAAATCCTTTCAATGAGTTTATCGGAACCTTTTCCAATTAATCCGAGGGTTTTAATAAGAAAGCACATTCTGTTTTTGTAGTCTTTGATCACGATATCTGAGCCATTAGCTTTGAGGGTTCCCTCTATGGGTATTGTAAAGTCCCAAAAATTCATTATTATTATTATTATATTTCCTTTGATTTCTAGTGTGTACCCATTTCTTTCCGTGTCCCAACCAGAAGCCTAAGGTCAGAAATTGCATTATAATATTTTTCACTGAGCCATTTAAAAAAAAATCACACATATTTTACATAGGTAAAGCCCTTCGTAAGGTGTTGGCTGTACTCGTGTGAACAATTTTTGTATTTCTTTAAGGTATGGGCAGTCAGGAATTTTTTCCAATCAATCCGAGGGCTCCAACTACAACTGGAATTATTGATGTCCTCATGTGCCACATTTTTTTATATTTCGATTTCAAGTTCCTTGTATTTTGATAGCTTTTTGAAGATCTTCAAAGATACATTGCAGTCTGTAAGGACTGCCATATCAATAAGGAGGAATTTTTTTGGTTTGCAATGTGTAATCATGATATCTGGGCGATTAGCTTTGTTTGTTCTGCCTGTGTATATTGTGAAGTCCCATAAAATTGTTACAACTCCTATCTCCGTAACCGGGTCTGGGTGGTGTTTATACCAATTTATTTCTGTTTCTTTTCTGTAGAATTTGCAGATTTTCCAGTGCATATATTGGGCCACTATGTTATGCCTTGATTTATATTCAATGGGTGCCAGTACCGTGCAACCTAATGTAAGATGGTCAATTGTTTCTGGATATTTATCACAGAATTTTCATTTTGACCTACCACATTTTTTAGTATGTGTGCTTGTTAATTTCTATGCAGCAAGAATAAAACCTTTGATCCCAGCTTTTAACGCTGCATTACATAGCAACTGATGATGAGTACAGGATTTGTCTACATCAGCTTGATTGGTACGGGCAGAGTATTGGACGTGAAGCGGTTTATCTTGCCATCGTTTCTGTATCTTGTTGGTTGCATTTGTTTTTGCTTTTTTTTAAATATTTTGCATCTTCAGTCGGTGCATTGGGCATTTCTTGTATTTCTTCACCCATTTAAAACTCCATTTATTATTATTATTATTGTTGTTATTATTATTATTATTATTATTTGTCTATATTTCTGAGATGAGGTATTATGCACATTATTTACATTATCCGGACTATTGCCCTCAAGAACACATGGCACAGTGGATAAAGGCATTAGTTAGATCCAGTGACAGGACCCAAGGAGTGTGAGTTCAATACCCGGCTAAGACAGTGGAGAACCTTCAGAGGGAAATTAACAGGAGATAACTAATAACTGACATCCATCAAACATGGCACATGGAATTGAACTGTCTACCCTAGTGAGCGAAATAAAGGGTTTAGTTCGAAATTCCAACCACCTGAAGAGGGCCGGAGCGTACAGCGGCCGAAACGTTGTAATAAATATGACGAGAAAGATGAGGACAATAGTCCAAATAATGTAAATAATTACTATTATTATTATTAAGCAGAACCATTCGAATCCAGACGATGAATGAAAAACAGAAGTTTTAAAATTGATTTTTATTAACCATTCGACATTTTTCACCATTTTCTGGAATTTAGGCAGTTTAAATTGTTAAAATTTAACATGGATTTTTAACGCCTTCAATCTGTCATTAATAAAAACCACCACTAACCTTTTTTCACAAGATGCAAGTTTTCTCTGTAACGTGTTGGCATTTTTCCATAAACTTTTGACCCGTTCCCACAAGGCGATTCTGTCTGTTATATATTGGCCTCTTTTAATACAACTAGAAATCAGGTTTAACGCTCGGAAAGCCATGGTTAGCAGATCATTGTTTGTACACCATTGCTTGCAAGTTTATTTCGTGTTGAAATATTATATTGTGCAACAAATATGAGCCAGAAACACGCAAAAAACATGTCTGTCATTCTAGGAACAAATAATACGTCTACTCTATAATATTAATTTGATGCAAACGTTAACAATACAATGCCTACTCAGCTCTTTCTGGCTTGTACAATCGAGTCAGATGTAAGAAAGCATTTCCCTTCTTCTTCTTCTTCTTCTTCTTCTTCTTCTATGTGCCGTATCTCTTCAGGACATTGACGGTCATGGCTCTCTACAATTCCCTTTCCTTTATATAAAGACATGGTGTTAATCAATTACTATTCAATGCAGTCTTCTTCTTCTTCGTCTTCTTCTCCTCCTCCTTCTTTTTCTCTTTCTATGTGCCGTGTCTCTTCAGTACATTGATGATTATGGCTCTCTACAATTCCCTCTCTTTTATATAAAGACATTGTGTTAATCAATCACTACTCAATGCAGTCTTCTTCATCTTCTTCTTCTTCTTCTTCTCCTACTTCTTCTTCTCCTCCTCCTCAATCTTCTTCTTCTTCTCCGCCTCCTTCTCTTCCTCCTCCTTCCTCTTCTTCTTCTTCTTCTTGTATGAGCCGTGTCTCTTCAGTACATTAATGATTATGGCTCTCTACAATTCCCTCTCTTTCAATCACCACTCAATGCAGTCTTCTTCTTCTTCTTCTCCTCCTCCTCCTCCTCCTTTTTCTTATTCTATGTACCATGTCCATTCAGTATGTTGGCGATCGTGGCTCTCCACAATTTCCTGTCCTTTGTAGCTCTTAGTAAATGTTGTCATTTTGCTATCTCCCCTAACTTCTTGGTTAGTTTATACATTATTTTTCTCTGGTCAGTACATAGATGCGTGACCACTTGGAAATACTAGGTTCTGTAAGCTTGGGTGTGTGGGTGGTGTAATGGATAATGTTTCCGAATTGTTAATAGGAGAACTGTGTTCCAATTCCCTTTGATTTCTTTATATTTATTTATGCTTAAATACCCTTGGGAAATACCCCTCTGCTCCCCTCAGCTATGGGTTAATTAATACAACCTGTATTACTAAACCATTATCATCTAAAAAAAAAGTCACAATCTAAATCTATTTTTGTCTTTAAATAACCTCTAATGGGTTGATAATCCATAAAAAACAAATTAATCCATCAATTTTCCTTCAATATGTCCTGTGAGTGCCAAATTTTCTAAACCCTCTTTCCTCGTTATGTGCTCTAGAAATTTCAACTGTCTCTTTCTGATGTTAAATATAAGTCTTCTTTTTGTTTACATTTTCTTTAAAATGTCGTTATTGCTTATAAATTCAGTCTATAGTATTCTCAGTATCCTTCTGTAGAAACACATTTCTGTTGCTTTAACTATTTTCTTCATCTTTGAGATCATCCAGCATTCTCTGCCAAATAGAGGAACTGATATTATATAACATAGCATTATTGTTTTCTTTGTTTTTAACGAGGTTTTCCTATTTTTAATAAGAACATTTTGATGGTTAAGAAAAATAGCCCTAGAAGAAATTGCAAAAAAATGATAACATTTAACTTTTCACGCCATTAAAAAATGAGACCCAAAAATCCGATGGCGGATTCAATAATATAAACTGCTTTCTGAAAACAATATACTAAGAAACGTCTATGTGACCAAGTAAGAAGAAAATTTTAAGGAAAATGGAAACAAAAAGTACAATTCTATTGAGAAATCGAGACAGTTGAAATTTCAAGGGTGCCTAATAATGAAAGGCGGACTTGGAGAATTTAACACTCACAGGATATAATGAAGGAAATGGGGACAGAGAAAAACAATGAATAACCTACCTAACATATTTAGCAGAACGGAGATTAGAAGGATTAGCAAAAAGAAAAACCTTACTAAAAGCTTATGATCGTCCACGCCCTGAAGGGCCATGTCACGTAGAAAAAAAAAAACGAATAATTTATACCGAGAAACATGGCGGCTATTTACTTATCCGTCCGAGTAAAAGATATTCAATCTCCTTTCTTTATATCGCTTCTTTTCTTTCTGTTTTTCTATTCATCTTGTTTTTACCTTTCTTTGTTCATATTTTGGGGAGTGTCTCTGGATTTACCATTTATGCATTAGCTGTAAATTTATTTTAAAGATGAGCAGATGTTTTCCTAGATCTTTGCATATTGAAACTGCGTTGTATAGTTGTGTAAATCATTCTTCCATATTTTTTGGTTTGTCCCAGGATGACTATTTAATATACATTTTTCCAGTACTCAAAGTTTACCAATTTGTAGATGTTAGAAACAAATAGCTACCTGTTCTTTGAATTTACAGTAACAAAGAAAAAAAAACATGGCGGCTGCTTTTACCATTACTCAGAATTTTTCATAGCCGCTTAGTTGATAGAACGCTTATGATCAGATAATATTAACTCCGAACAAAAGTTCGTTATGTTTTTTTAAGTGGATTTCAAAGACAATATTTAGATATTTGTACATAGATTTATTCAACCACATATATGACATTTTGGCTAGGGAAGTTTCAAATAATATTAAGGGTACTTTATGGAACAGACCAATAAGGGAATGGTTCCCCAATCATTACCATCTTAATCTTTTTCAAGTCTCAGGTCAACTATTATCTATCCTACATATCCTCATAGACTACACATACTCCCCCCCATCTTACGTCCATATTCCAGACTCATTCAGTAACCCTCTACCGTGGGTAACTCTTGGGCCCTGTATTGACTAAATATTTAGTAAAAACGAAAAAAAACTTTCCGGATTGATTGATTTGGTTTTTACGGTTTATCAACCGTTTTTATGTTATTTAAAGCAGGGACATATTTTTAGATTGTAAGAATAATTCTTGTTTGCGAATGAATATTGTATTAAGAAGTTTTTGGAGGATGATTTTTCCAGATGCAAGTTCTACTATTTAACCCATAGCTAGGAGTAGAGATGGATTCATACCTTTTCTAAGGCTATTTGTGACTGCTTTTATCATTATTTTCACGATTTTTCATAGCCGCTTAAATCATATAACCGCTTATGTTCATATAATATTGGCTTGGAATAAAAGTTCGTTGTGCTTTTTAAGTGGATTTCAAAGTCAATATTTAGATATTTTTACATAGATTTATTCAACGATATATATGCCATTTTGTTCCGCTAGCTTTTGTTATCTTTGAAGGAGCTTCATGATTCCAACCTCTCAGAACTTACTGGGTGATGAACCAATCCTAAGTATTTGTTTTTACAAGCTTCCAAAGATTTGATGTGCTTCCTATTGAGAGAATTTTGTTTATTAACCCATGTATTTGAGGAGAGAATATATAAATATTTTCCCCAATGTTATTTGCACGTATGTGAATGCAACGGACTCGGCTGGAATTCGAACTCGGCTCTCCGACTTCTCAATTCGAGCTGTTTTCTATAGTACCACCCATAGATCCTTAAAAATCACAGTCCACACTCGAAGCGTATAGAAAGAATATATGTTATAAATTTCAGTCACGTGTGGAACAAAACTACGTCTTCAAACGCCTCCTATTGAAAACGTTTGTTCCAAGACAATGTGAAGTATTGATTATTCGCTATTTTAAGCTGATGGTGACTATAATTACGGTTTTTTTCTTTCTTTTTGTCTGTCTGTCTTTCTTTCTTTCTTTCTTTCTTTCTTTCTTTCTTTCTTTCTCACAGCCCTTTTTTCTGGTTTTCTTTCTTTCTTGTTGATAATCCTTTGTTTCTTCCTTTTTTCAGTCCTTTCTTCCTTTCTTGTTTACAACCCATTCTTCTTTCTTTCTTTCTTTCTTTCTTTCTTTCTTGCTTGCTTGCTTGCTTGCTTGCTTTCTTTCTTCACAACCCTGACTTCTGATAAATGAATAAATCGGAGAACCGAGTTCGAATTCTAGTAAGGTTAGGGATAATTGCTTCCGTTACATGTAAATACTGTTGGGAAACTTATGAATTGATTTCCTTCCTCCAGCTATGGGTTAAATAGTAGGACTTGTATCTGAAAAATCATTGCCATTTTACAAATAAGGCAATATTCAAAGTAAAACAGAAAAGAAAAAAAAGAGTAAGTCGTACTCTCCAAAATATGTTTCGGCTGTAAATAACCCACAAAGGGGTGATAAGCCGTAAAATTAAACCAACAAGTAATTGCAATCCCATCAATTCATCCTTTCATTGACAATCGATAAGTAGATTTTTGCATTTTTTCTTTTGACAATACATCGGTGAATTCTTTCTTTCTTTTTTACAACACTTTCTATGAGTGAAAGAACTAATTTCAACACGGGACTAATTTCAACTCGATTTAAAATCAAAGTTATCAATTTCCGTGAATTTCTAAACAAAATGCAATGAGTTCGTGATATCTTTTTTAATTTAGCATTAAAAATCCTCAGTAGATAATTCAGAATTCACCTTTTTTCAATTTTCATTACGTAGTTCCGAGTTGAAATTAATTCGAAGTTGAAATTAATTCCGAGTTGAAATTAATTCCGCACACCTTTTCTACTTCCTTTTTCTTCCTTTCTTTCTTTCTAACAACAGTTTCTTTATTTTTTCTTTCCTTCCTTCCTTCCTTCCTTCCTTCCTTCCTTCCAACCCATTCTTTCTTTTTCCTTCCTTCCTTCCTTCCTTCCTTCCTTCAACCCATTCTTCTTTTTTTTCCTTCCTTCCTTCCTTCCTTCCTTCCTTCCTTCCTTCCAACCCATTCTTCTTTTTTTCCTTCCTTCCTTCCTTCCAACCCATTCTTCTTTTTTTCCTTCCTTCCTTCCTTCCTTCCTTCCTTCCTTCCAACCCATTCTTCTTTTTCTTTCTTTCTTTCTTTCCTTCCTTTCTTCCTTCCTTCCAACCCATTCTTCTTTTTCTTTTTTTTTTCCTTCCTTCCTTCCTTCCTTCCTTCCTTCCTTCAACCCATTCTTCTTTTTTTTTTCCTTCCTTCCTTCCTTCCTTCCAACCCATTCTTCTTTTTTTTTTTCCTTCCTTCCTTCCTTCCTTCCTTCCTTCCAACCCATTCTTCTTTTTTTTTCCTTCCTTCCTTCCTTCCTTCATTCCTTCCAACCCATTCTTTTTTTTCTTTCTTTCCTTCCTTCCTTCCTTCCTTTCTTCCTTCCTTCCTTCCTTCCTTCCTTCCTTCCAACCCATTCTTCTTTTTTCCTTTTCCTTCCTTCCTTCCTTCCTTCTTCCTTCCTTCCAACCCATTCTTCTTTTTTCTTTCCTTCCTTCCTTCCTTCCTTCCTTCCAACCCATTCTTATTTTTTTCTTTCTTTCCTTCCTTCCTTCCTTCCTTCCTTCCTTCCTTCCTTCCTTCCAACCCATTCTTCTTTTTTTTCTTTCTTTCCTTCCTTCCTTCCTTCCTTCCGACCCATTCTTCTTTTTTTTTTCCTTCCTTCCTTCCTTCCTTCCTTCCTTCCTTCAACCCATTCTTCTTTTTTTTTTCTTTCTTTCCTTCCTTCCTTCCTTCCTTCCTTCCCATTCTTCTTTTTTTTCTTTCCTTCCTTCCTTCCTTCTTTCCTTCCTTCCAACCCATTCTTCTTTTCTTTCTTTCCTTCCTTCCTTCCAACCCATTCTTCTTTTTTTCTTTCTTTCCTTCCTTCCTTCCTTCCTTCCTTCCTTCCTTCCAACCCATTCTTCTTTTTTCTTTCTTTCCTTCCTTCCTTCCTTCCTTCCTTCCAACCCATTCTTCTTTTTTTCTTTCTTTCCTTCCTTCCTTCCTTCCTTCCTTCCTTCCTTCCTTCCAACCCATTCTTCTTTTTTTTTCTTTCCTTTCCTTCCTTCCTTCCTTCCTTCCTTCCTTCCTTCCTTCCTTTCTTTCTTTCCTTCCCATTCTTCTTTTTTCTTTTCTTCTTCCTTCCTTCCTTCCTTCCTTCCTTCCTTCCTTCCTTCCTTCCAACCCATTCTTCTTTTTTTCTTTCTTTTCTTCTCACAACCATTTCTTCTTTCTGTTTTTCTGTTATTTTCTTTCTTTAAATTTTCTTTACAGCACTTTTTTCTTTCCTTTTTTCTGTTTTATTTACAACCATTTCTTTCTTTCGTTCTTTCTTTATTGTTTACTGCACTTTCTAATTTCTTTCTTTCTTGTTTACAATCCTTTGTTTCTTTCTTTTTACTTTACTTTTTCCTTTTTTCTTTCTTGTTTACAACCTATTCCTCTTCCTTTCCTTTTTAACAAACCTTTCTTCTTTCTTTTTTCCTTCTTTTCTTTGTTTACTACCCTTTCTTCTGTTCTTTCTATTTTGTTTACAACTCTTTCTTTTTTATTCTTTCGTTCTTAA